AAAAAAATTGAATTAAAAAATTACACAAAAAATAAGAAATTTTAAATATTTAATTTGATACTAATATCGATATATTTTTGTCAAATTTTTATAATATCTTTAAATTTATATTTTATTTAAAAATAAAAACATTATCTTTTTTTTCAAAATCACATAAGACCATATTATAACATCAACTGAGATAAAGAATAAAACGAAATATTAAAATCAAGATGTATCCCGCTGCATTATGCGAGTACCTTTCTAGTAATTAACTAATATATGTATGACTTTTAATATAATACTAAATTCTTTTTGGATCATACTAAAAAATTGTCTCTTTTATTTATTAATTTTTTTGAACTACTATTATATATACTATATGTTGTATACAAAAATGGGCCCTAATTTCTTGTGGGGACTGTCCTCCTCTAGGAACGCCCCTGATCAGTTATATAACAGTTTTGATTCTTGTAGTAGTATAGTCTTTATGTTATGTAGAAGTTCATAATGAGGAACAATCCAAGCTGATTTGCCTTTTGAATTTTGTAGTATGATTTGGTTACCGTTATATTTGAACAAGACTTCTTGATTCCATTGGTCAGAAAAGAAGTAATATAACTGTATAATTAGAGTTGCAAATATAAGAACTTCTGAAAGCAAATGAATGAATGATATCAACTCTATAATGAGGTTGCTCGATGACACTAATATTATTTTATGTATTTGGTAAACAAATATAAAGATTCAATTTAACATGTATTATATTGGGTTATTCACATTGTTTGGTAGTTGTGATTGAAAAAGTAGAATGTAAAATGTCTAGACTTGTTATTTAGGAAACACTATATTAAATTCTTTAATAGGTCCATTTTCATTTAAAATATCTCTTGATTATTGTCAAGATTATCCCAATTACTAGGATCATAAATATCAAAAAAGAGGGATATTGTTCGACATGTGGATGCTCAACATTATGTTCCACATTTGGGTGCTCAACATTATGTTCCACATTTGGGTGCTCAACATTATGTTCAACATTTGAGTGTTCAACATTATGTTCATCTAAATTTTCATTAGATGTGCCTACACCTTTAACAAATTTGTCCATGGCTCCTTTTTGTAATTGTACTAATTGCTCAACCAATTTTTTTTTCCTTTTCTCACTTCCAAACAAATGTTGTTTATGTATCATGCTTAATTAAACAGTTAACAAACTCCAACAAAATAAGAACAAAAGCACCCGAGTCTTGGAATATGTATCAAAATCGAATAAGTTAACTCTGATATTCCTTGATTTGTAGATTGTAGTCTGTAGATTGAAAAAAAAAAAATTAGACAAAGTTAACTATTAGTCTTGGGCAGTGAGAAAGTGGTTTTTCTTGTCAATTTTGGCATAGAATAAAAAGGAATATGAATAATAAAGCAGTCCCAAGATAGAATTCAGATAAATAAATAACATATAAACAGAAAGGAAAAGAGGTATAGATCCACCCTCCCTCTTGCAATGGACATATAACAAGAGTGGAATAATTAATGTACTACATGGAAAATCTAATATTTGTTATCTTGATATAAAGTTCTTGAGCTCAAAGGAACCACTTAACCAATAAATCATTCTGGTTTGAAACCAAATTGGCACTTCCTATTTCCTAACTATACCATCTACACAATGCAATTTCTTGCCGGGAACTAAATTAGCATCCAAATTGGCAAGACTGTTTCAATAATCACAATCCCATATGCTAAAAACTTCTATTGATTTCCAAACAGGACAACAAGGTCTATGATTCAGCTTTGAGTCCAAAGAAAAAATTATATCTACATGAGACTGACATACTGTTTTGATAAATATAAAAAATCGATAAAAGAGATTGTTTTGATAAATTTCATTTGATAAATTGAAACTCTAAAAACATAAAGAATTGATAAATTAGACTGTTTTGATAAATTGAAAAGCTAAAAAATCATTACTTACATAAATCACAGTCTTGATCCTTGAAGTCCAAAACTCAAAAGCATGGAACAACCAATGAACAATAGAACTTGCTGATGAAAAGAGATTAAGAGAAATCAGAAACTGTTTGTAATTTGTCCGTTTCAAGTTTCAACACAATAAGTTAAATAATGATAGAAATGAAATCATATAAACAATGACAAATTTCCTAACCGAAACCCCTATTAACGGGTATGAGCAGCAACAGACTTTGGAGGATAAGAGGAGGCCTCAGATTCTTCATATCTCTTCGTGAATAGTGAATCGTGATTCGGTTGTAAATTACTGTTAGGAGAAATGTAACATCAAACAACAGTCTTTGAAAAATTGAAATAAAAAAGTAGCCGAGTAGGAGAAGAAGAACATACCGAGTTTGGACCGTTGGAGAGGTGAGAGCGTGTGCATGAGTTGTCGGTTTCTGGAACACTAGAAGAGACTAAGGGTCAACCGATTACTCCTTACTCGATTACAATTAGGTCCTAGCGTTAGTAGCATGAGCCATGAGCGACAGGCGACAGCCGTGAGTGAGGTCTGGAAGCCGGAGGCGTATACGATACAATTGATTTTGGACTATAATTCATTAACTTTGAGCTTAAATTATTTGGGCCCTTTCATTTTTGGGTTTTAAATTAAATTAATTTGGTCCATAATTATTAACATTATACTAAATTATTTGGGCCCCTGATTTTTATGGACCCTGAGCACATGCCCAACACGCTCTCCTCCAGGCACGACTCTGGTTATAACTATGGTCTATATGCTATACACTATGTTTATTATGAATTTAATCCCGGTAATATTTAATATTTTACGATTAAGGTCCCTCTGGTTAAAACAATTCTGTTAATTTAATTAACATAGGGGGCATGGGGAAAGCTCTTATTTGTTGCACACTACAGGTTTGGCCCCATCACAAATTGACAATTGATTCCTCCTTTCCTCATGTGAAAAGTTACTATAAGTTAGACACGATTGACCAATATCGAACGATAAAAATGGATTTCGGTCCACCATCTGATACATGTATATTCTGTTAATTGGCGGTTTTGATTGACAAAAATAACGGCTATTTTTGTATAAAACTTGAAAATTTGGTTAATTTTTCCAATTTCTTTTGCCATAAATGATTATTTTGATGGATTTCTCAATTATATATTTACATAATAAATTATTTTAATAAGAATATTTTATTTATAAAATTATAAATTTAAAACATCTTTTGAATTAGTTGCTATATATATTTTCAAACTATTGATTGCTAATGTTAAATTAATATTTTCAAATATTTTGGTTTTTTTTTTTTTTCATTTCAATGCATGTTTAACATGATTTTGATCTAAAATGGTACATATAACAACCCACAAAACAAAAAGCTAATGACAAGTGCATTCAAGTTGTTCAGTGTTGCATTACTTATGTTTGTAAATGAGGTATTGTTTTAGTATTTGGCTGTTTATTATTTTTTGTGAATTGCAATGAATACGATTCTCAACAATTTTGCTGATATATATTTTTATTTAGCTGATATTACTTAATTACTGATACTTGATTTAACCATCGCAAATCCTAACGTTCTTATCTTTAACGTGGTGTAGCTCTTATTGGAGCAATAGTATTAGGCATGGCAAATCCTACTCCCGGTTGTATCGCTCATAGATACAATGTATCAACATTTAGCGTTTTTGGAATGTTCATCATATCAGGTAATAAGAAGTTAATGGGTTGTTTGTTTGTGTTTTTCTTCCTATTAAAATGTGTCTGAAACAAAATAGTTTCATTACTATTCATCCACATGAGGATAATTAAGCCATTACACTTATTAATTTGATCCAAAAAGCCCTTTTCCTATTGTGGATGAATAGTAATGAAACTGGTTTATGCAGATAAAATAATTTTAAACTATATTTTTTTTTGGAAAAAAAATTGTAATTTATGTTTAAAATGTAAAACTTTAATTTAACTCTGTTTTAATTACCTTCAAATAGGATAAAATGAAAATTAAACAAGATTAATTATGAGTAAATAAATCTCTTACAATAATTTGATTTCATCTACTATAGATATAATGGTTTATCATAAACAAATGTATTGGTTTTCCATATATTAAAGAGAAGTTTCGAATGATCAAGTTCTGAACTTTTTTTAATGAATAAATTATTGAACTTTCTTATTTCGAAAACGATTAAGTCTCTAAATTCATTTTTAAATAAATAAACCATCGAACTTTTAAAATTTGTTACCTATATTCTTTTAACACAAAAAAATTATCTGGAACCAGCTAATAAAGTTTTGAAGGAAATTTTTTTTTACTATTTCCAAATCCTACGCTATTCAAACCCCTTTGCCACCCCATTTGCCTTATATAGTTCAGGGATTTAATCATTTAAAATGGAAAAGTTGGGATTCTTATAAACTATTATATTAAAAAAGCAAAAGTTATAAACCGGATAATGAAGATGAATTTATGAAAAGGAGACATTTGTAGGTGTGGTATGCGAACTGCAAAGTTATCTTTTTTTAAGTATATAATATTTTTATACAGTAAATGTAACAATTAAACTTACACACCGTTATCAACTTTGGTGAAGATTGAACTTCTGGTACCGATAGGGTATTAAAGTGTGAAGTCATCTTTTTGAACATGCTTTGTAGAATTACATAAAGTAATTTATTTAGATAAATTCCATGCATGCAAGATTTAATTAAATGATTGGTAATTAACCCATCTTAATTAATATTCAGTTTATCCCTTTTCTTCTTCATAATACAGGATTAACGTTGGGTAATGAAGAAATCGGTGAAGCTGCTGAAGCATGGCCAATCGCACTCTTTGGGCTAGTAAGAACTTTAGAAAACTTATGAATGGCATTGTGATTATTGATTCATTCTCTTTTTGTTTCTCCTTCCATCATATCTTGCTGATCATTTTAACAGAAGGGCTATATGCTAGTTATCTGCAAAGTTTTCCCAGTTACAGAAGTAGTATCGGCTGAACCACGATATGCATGATCTCATTGATCTTGTGTTCAATTTTGTTGGTCTGTCTAGCATCATAAACTAATATCCCCATAAGCATTTTGTTTCAAAATAAATGATCAAGTTCTTATACAATCCAATATCAATGTCGCTGCAGGCTTCTATTTTATTGCTCACTCCCCTCCTGTCCAGAATTATGGTGCAACTTCCCTTACAACCTCAAGAATTTGCAACAGGTCTGGCTCTTAGAAAGTAATTGCATGATATATACTTAGGTAGCACCAGTTTGGCATATGTAATATAATTTTATCTTGTTCTTGCAAATCTGAGTATACTATATGATAATAGTGCAAAAAACTAAGTATACACCACTTCTAGTAACATGTACACCTCATAAAAAAGCTTTGTCATTGATGAAAGGGAACAAATTTATCTTCTAGATCTCTATGCTTCTGTCTCGCTATTGGGACGGTGGGATATCATCAAAGGTGAATTTGGGTCCTTCTGGCAATGGGCTCATGATTGAAGGCCATAAACCACTAGCAACTCCTTAATATAAGATGAAAACACTATATAGTTTGTTGTAGTAGTTTATTTGCTTCACCGTATGTGATTTACTGTACTTTTGCAGGACTAGCTCTATATAACTGTATGCCTACAGCAATATCGAGTGGAGTTGCTCTAACCAGGGTTCGTTTATCGTTCTAGTTAACTATTTCTACTTACCATGTTGATTTAGATAATAGATCTTTATAAGAATAAAGAAAAGATGATTAATTTATGACCAGAGATGAAATTCTGCGATGCAGATTGCTGGAGGAAATGCGGCCTTGGCTCTTATGATGACTGTAACATCTAGTCTGCTGGGAGTTCTGATTGTAAGTTCAAAAGCAATGACCTTACTATTCCTGACTAAAACACTTTACAGATTCTAAATAGATATCATCAACTTACTTCATTAGTATATGTAACATTAATGTTTTTAAAATATTAGTCAGCATTCATATTCTCTTTCAAGTCATTGTTTTGGACATTTCCGCAGCTTTAATGCTAAACTGCCAACGTACCATGTCTTTCTTGTTGGGTTTTTTTTATGGTTTTAGCCCATGAGGAAGGCCCATACATGTTATGGCCCACATATATATAGATCTCTCCATCCCTATTTTTAAAATTCTAAGTTGTGCAGCCAAAACAGAGGGAAAAAGAGAAGAAAGGTGAGAGCTCCCTTATTTTCGTCATTTTTAACACAGTAGCAGAAACACTCTGTTTCCCGGAGATTGAACGGTCGGATCGTCGTCATTTTTGGTCAGTGTCTTCACAACATCTGAGCCAACATTCTGGACGGTTGGATCGTGTTTTTGAGGTCTGGAGGTCAGGTTCTCTGAGGGTTCTT